TCAGCAAACCAGTTCCTTTGTCTTCCTCCGTCAAGAAGTTCCCTTAGCGTTGCATCAGGGTGTTCTCCTGTATCTCTGTGTCTGTCTGCAGGACATTGGGATCACAGCTCTACACATGATATCTACTTAATTATAGCACGTACCCTATGGTCTTCACTTAAAACATGACTTAAATTACTTTACTACCTATTAGCAATGCCTCTCAGATTTCTGTACTATACAAGAATATCTACATCCCTTTTTATGTCTAATATAATGTCATTAAAATTTGTAAGCATGTTTAATGACTACTTGTGAAAGCAAATTTAATTGTAGACAAATGTTAGACTTTGCTGATACCCCACCAAGGCTGCAGCATTCTTTTATTTTTTAAGGATATATTTTTATTGAAATTGTAGCATCCTGGGAACACCTTTGAGTTTCCTTTTGATATATCAAAATAGTAAAGAGATACTGGATTAAAAATAAAGACATATTTTGGATGTTAATAGGCCTATCCAGTTTTTGCCTTTTCAAGTGGTTTAATTCCACTGGAGAGCTCTCTCCAACAGAAAACAAAAGCAACAGCAGCAACAACAAAATGTAAGTCTAGTTAATGGTTTAAGCAGACCAAGTGTAAAGGAAAACATCAACTTTTATTTATTAAAAGATAAAAAAAATCACATATTAGAGTTACAAATACTTGACAACATTGACCTTCATACAAACTTATACTCTCAAGGTTTATTCCAAATACAGGCTCTGGAGCTCATAATTCACATCTAAGTGTCTGCTAATAAATAAACCAAACATAGATATGTGGTTTTCTAGTTTTCTAAAAGAAGTTATTTGGATGGAATTTTGTGCTACTGTTTTCTCTCCTTTTTTCATTCTTACATAATTTATTTACCAATAGCATATTCATTTTTTTAATGTGGATGGAGGATTTGACATGTCTCATATTAGAGAAATATAAACCACCAATGCAATATCAAAATTTTATTATTTCCACTGTTTTTTTACAATTCCTAAATATTCATTTTTTATCAGATTATAATAGAGTTATAACATGAGAACCTTTCCTTTTATTCCTTCAAACACTCCCATACACCATTCCTTCAGTCCTTAATAGTCATGGCCTCTTTTTTCAATAATTGTTGTTGTATATATGTTTATAAGCTCAAATATTTCCAAATATAACTTAATCACTTTGTGTAATGCTACTTTTATCCATATTTTTAGTACTGACCATTTGGTATTAGACAACCGTTGGTGCTCTCTTTCCTGGGGAAGAGCTCTCTCAATCCCAGCTTTCCTCAGTTGCTTCTGGTTCTTTGTGCAGTGTTAGCTGAATAAGGTAGGCACTAATGAACCTGTCAAAGCAGACAGGGAAATGCCTTTGAGGCTTCAACTCTACACAAAGAACTACAGGAAACTGAATGTTCAATATTAATAGAATAAATGGTTTTTGACTGAGAAAGAAACTAGCACACTTATACTTTTAAAAATCCATTTAACCAATTAAATTTTATGTCACATAAGAGAAAGCACATTTCCCAAAACGACGTTAAAATCACAAATTTCCAAAATATCTGAACCCTGCACCAAATATGTTTTAAATGATCAGTCCTTCTCCACTGGCACCATGTAAATCCAATAAGTGCTGATTCGCACTGTAATGAGGACATCAGCGCCATCACGTGAGCTTATGTGATTACCTTGCACTTCTGCTTCAGTCATCCGCATTTCATTTTCAGTTAATGAAATCTTCTCTGTGGTCTATTTCTTATCATATTGTTTTATGCATAGAAATTATCCTAATGAGAAAACCGCGCGACATGCTTATGAGATGAGTACTCTCTGGTCCATCATTGTAAAGGAAGTATAAAGGGAGTGTGTGAGCGCTGGAGCTTTGAATAGCAGAATCACAGTGAAAATTACTCCAACTGGCCCTAGTACATGCAGTAAACATTTTGGTTCACGAACGGTAAGAGTGAGAGAAAAAACCCATATTTATACTCTCTTGGTTTTAGTATTAGTCAGTTACATGTATTCTAAACCTTGTTTTATGTCTAACTTGAGCTGTGCCGAGTCGTTCAAGAATTGTGCTAACCTCTCCCATGTACCCTGAAAGAAATTACCCTATATTCTAAATTGCGTCTCTATAACACTGCACAACTGAGGTTGACATATCTCTTCAGTCAACAATTAAATAGTCTTCAAAAATACCCAGAGCAAGGCTGGAAGATGAAATATGTTAATGGACTTTCTGTTCTCCCATTCTAAAATTTTGAGTTACTATATTTTACTATTGTGAGACTTTATGTCCTTGAAATACAAATGTTCTAGCTAACAGCATAAAGCAAGATCCAGGGAAAGTTGATCAAGACCAAGTTCCTGACGTTAAAATATCAAATCATTTGGTTTAACAACTGTCATTATTACAATTTTTTGAGAAAAATATGGTTTTGAAGATCATGCTTACAGAACATACTCATGATTTCAAGTCCCCACAATATTTTAATTCCATAAGGTATGTGGGTGGATATTTCAAATTGACATAGTTTTGTGTTATTTTTTACATGCAAAATTATTATCAGATGGAGGGGAAATTAAATAATTCTGAATGTGATTTTAAAAACCCACAATGTTCTTGACTTATGTTACCAAATTTAAACTATTGCTAAAATTTATTCACTTTTGGAAAAGGAATAATATTAATAACATAATGTCAATTTTAATAAAACTAAATATAGAAAGCTTTTGTTAAAATAACCAGAGAAAATGTTCTATTAAGTTGTTATATATAGAAGTAGAAAAAATAGCTAATTGATATATATACATATGTGTATATATGTTTATATTATATATATATATATAAAGTACTTGACTGATATTGAATTTTTATGGAATACAAAGTTGACTTTTATGGAATTAAAAAGTAGAATGTTTCACTGATTTTATCATTAAGATTATATATCTCAAATGATGATAAACTAATACTCTTTTGCTTACCAAAGACATCATTTCCTTCTGATCAATAACCTAGCATATAATAATCTAGAAAAAAACTCAGGATCTCTTCATGTTTTTTATTTTTAGACAATTAGTAAAACCACTGTTAGGTCAGATAATTTGTCATGTTATTAGATAATTCAAAGAATTCATTATCAATTAATTTGTTAAATGATATAGTTTTAATAAACCCTTATTTTTAAAAGATAACTAGGAAATGCTATTTTATAATAATCTGGGTAAAAATAGTCATCTTGCATTCTCATTTCTCTCCATGATATCGGTTGAGGACTATGTTTTAAATACATTGTACTCCATTCTTCTTCTCCCAATATAATCCATTACTCATTCTTATAATGAGATCTTGCCATAGTGAATCCATGAACAGAAGTCTCTACTTCGAGTCTAATTGTTGGAATCATAGATCTAAAGTATTATTCGTGGCATAGGCATATATCAACAACATCAAATATTGGTTAAATGCATTTTGAAGTACTGATCATGATTCTCTGAGATAAAATTTAGTTTGGGTGCAGGAAAAATGAATATAACAGGAAGCTGTGGATAAAAACGAGTATTGCTGGGAGGTAACTAATAGAGAAAAGAAGTCACAAGAGCTAGAGAGCGTGAGGCAGGGAATGCGCACTAAGTCTTGCAGGGAGGAACGGGAAGGGTAAGAAATAAAGCGATTATACATTAATTGAAAAAAAGAAATAAAATGATCTAACAATAATACAAACAGTCTAGTCTAAATAAACAAATAACAGAAATAACAAAAGAACAATTAATATCAAAAAACAGTCAAAACAGGATGAGGAGCTAAATAGGAAATTAGTGGTAGCCACGGTCCATGCAGCCGTGGTCTCCCAGAAAAGGCAATAGCAAAAAGAGACACAGCTTTTCCTCAAGAATGAAGGTTTCTTTTTTTCTACCTACACTGCTGTTTGTAAATAGCTTAGCTAGTTCAAGGGTAGCGCTGAGCGAGAGGCTGAGGACACTGTATCTGTGACAGTTTATCTGAGTTCTTCCTTCCGCACTTCTCTTCCTTGTGGCCTTGTTTGGCACAAGAGGACACTCTTCCAAGGCGCTTGCTCTTGTCTAAAGATTTCCAAAGTCATGGAGCCACAACTGGATGGTGGTGTGCTTGAGAAAGGAGCAGCAGACTGTCTGGATCATAAAAGGTGATGGATTAATCCAAACCTTAAATGAAGACCACAGCACAAGAAATAAAACCCTTCCCATCTGGCAGATGATGGTCTCCAGATAATTACTCTTATAATTTAATATGCTACAAATCTGAGGTACAGAATATTTAATAATGCTGCCAACCACAATGAGAATATTCATACAGCGATACCAAGGGCTGTATAAACATGGCTACCTTGTCCAAAACAATTCATGATTAAACAAAAAGAAATAATGTTTCTTTGTGATAAAACCAGTGCCAGGGGTAACTTTAATACAAAAAAAAAAATAAAATATTATCATAAAACAGTTAGAAAACATCTTCTAACTTAGAATATCTTTTTAAGGCCGGGCAGTGGTGCACATGTCTTAATCTCCCCTGCACTCAGGAGGCAGAGGAGGGGGAATCTCTAAACTCACTGCCAGCCTGTACTATGGAGTGACTTTCAGGACAGTCAGAACTACACAGGACAGCTCTGTCTTGAAACAAACAAACAAACAAACAAACAAACAAACAGCAAAAATATAGAAGAAAAAAAAAACAGAAAAAAAGAAAGAAAAATGTCTTTGCCATTGAAAACCTGCATTAGAGAAACAATAAAGTGTCAGGTCCGGAGAGCATTAAGGACTGAAAATGGGTGTCTTATGAAGGTGACCTCTTAGAGACATTTACCCTTAATAATGCGACATTAGTTATAGCAACAAAGTGAGCTCTCGAACGTGCTTCTTTGTGAACCTAGAACGCGGCAAGTGGAGAAATATTCACATTATCTGAAGCTGGTGTTGATTTTTCAGAATAGGCAAAGGTATAAACGTGGTACCATTCTGTGTCTGCATTCTTCTCTGCGACTTAGGCTATTTCTTGGTTAAACTCTCAAGCCTTTTAAAAAGCATGCAGTGTTCAAGCAAATATTGTTTACAACTCTAGACTGGTTAAAACTATATGCTAACTAATTGTACTGTAAATGGCATAAGATAAGCTAGTTTTTGTATAAAGCTTATTTTTCTAAATTATTAAGTTTCAACATATTTATTATATTTATACAAACTTATTACATTGTACATTAGGATGCATCATGCCAATGCAAGTGACTTTATGCAATGTATAATTTCCTATATGTTTGGTCATTAAAACTGCAAACAATTTTTAAAATTTCTGATAGGTTATATACTATTAGCCTCAGATTTTCATAAATTCTCATTCTTGGAATATTCACTTAATAACAAAACTCTTTATAAATGTTTCACTGAGAGATGTATTATACCCCTTAGTTGTGATGGTTAATATGTTCTTCACCTGAACTATAAACACTTACCTGTCATTTCCACTGTCAGCTATGAATGACATATTTTCCAATATTAGTATTTAGGACATCATAATGGGAACTAACTAAAAATTTACTAATTTGGGCTACCACCAAAATTCACTTCTCATTTCCATGTTGAGAACTGAGTCACTCGTTTCTCCAGGATACAGTTGCTGAGCATCTACTATGGCACACAGCTCATTTCCCAAAGCTAGACGTAGAACAAAGCCACGCCGACGACACCAGCAGAACAACACCGATGACTGCGGCTTACATCCTGGTGAGCCAGAGGTACTGAGCGCCGGCTTCCTTCTGAATGCAGCTTTTCCTGCAAGGGACCCTGCGGAGCTGGAGCATATTGGAAACATTTATAAGAGGAAAAATGTGCGTGCATGTGTGTGTCTGTGTGTGTGTGTGTATGCATGCATGCATGTATATACGCACTATAGTTTTTTGTGTAACAATGCATTTACAGCTGATGAGTTCTGAGACAAACAGGGCTTAGGAGTCTCTCTCTCTCTGCTCTCTCCTCCATTCTTCTGACATCAGGCTTATTTCTACGACCCCAACACACATATTTTATCCTAACTCTAATCACTGGAAGTTAAAGAATTATATTGTCCATATTTTGTCCATCAGGCAGTCTCTGTTTGGAAAATAATGCTACAGTCTATAGTTGAGCTGATGCTTAATTAAGGTAAGATTCTGATGTATAAACATTTATATGTACTCCAAACTAAATTATTTCTGTTCCAATTACCATAATTGCTAAAATCTATCCCTCTTCCTTGCATTACCCTCATCAGAGTCAGATGCTGCCAGACTCACCCCCAACTCGGAGGTTGTTTGGCCATTAAAATCATGGTTTGTTAAAGAAGAATCTTAAGAAAATATAATCGCCTTGAGATACACAGTGGGAAAAACAATACATTTGGAGACAGATTTTATTGGTTTAAATCCCAGTTTTACCTTGCCTTTGGCAAAAATATGGTAAAGGCTTTTATTTATAGAAAAAAGCTTTCCTTTTAAATGAAGATTTGTTACAATAGCCAATAGGCTGGCATTTAGTCCACTGAGATCCTTCACAGGTCTGTGCATTGTTGCTCATACTTCCCAAATGACCGTATGACACTGGCTTCCTTGGATTGGTATATTCTCAATGAGTGAACTGCAGAAAACAATGCCATATAATGTAGGCTTTAGAGTTTATGTATTGAGGATTATAGAATTATAATCTTTGTTAGTGGAAATGGGAATATTCCTTCATGAATATGATATACCAAAATGTAAATATATCACTGCTCTTGTCCCCCTTTCTCTCATGTCTGTAAAAATGTGACATGCTCATTAATACATGCATATACACACACATGCTTGCCTACATAGTATAAAAATATGCACACCTCCATGTATATGTATTCAACCTCTGAATCAACAATAGGCCTCAGAGAGAAACACAACAATTAGGTACCTTAACAGTGTAAATTAAAAAATATATATATTCTAAGAACTTAGGAAACTTCAAAAATTGAGGAGAGTTACTTGAACATCCTAAAAGAAGAAAAAGGATATAGAAGTTCTCTAAGATGCAGAAATGATAGGAATAAAACACACTTTTCGCAGAGACATCCATCCTTCACCCTCTGGTGAAGCATCTTTAGAGTTAGATTTCGGTGTTCAAGAAGCAAATTGAAATTATGCCACAACTTATTCTTGAAACTAATTCGTTTCAAGTGAATGCATTGATCATAACCACAAATAACAGCATTTTGTTTGTTATTATTTCAACTCTCAGTGATTATGTTTTAACTACACACACAGACACACAAGTGCAAGCAGAGAGAGGAACAATCTCTCCTTCTCAGAATTTCTGGAAACAGAGATTTTCGTAACTAAGAGAGGTAATAGATAGAGTGGCTGTTAGCAACTGAAAACATCTTTAGGAGAAAGTCCTAACAATTTTGTTTCCAAGATAGAAGCAATTTGCTTTCATTAGTGCTAAAGAGATTCAGTATTAGTGTCAGAAACATTTCATCAGACTATCCCAGTGCTATTCTTAAATCAGAACAGTACATTTAAAGGTTTAGAAATATAATTTCATGTTATTTTTCTCCTTAGATATTGTAGTCTGAGAGAAATTGTGTGGTAATGTAATATCGCTCTTAGAGCTGAACTTAGAGTAAAATAAATAAATAAATATGATCAACAGTCATTCATTTCTTCATGGAGCAACAGTTTTTCAGCATTCATGTGTGCCAAGGCGTTTCTGGGTAGTAGGGAATGAACTCGAGAAAGTCACATTTCTGGCTGTGGAGAGTCAGAGCTTAATATCAGAGGCAGATATCAAAGAGAAAATGAAACATAATGAGGAAAGAACCAGCATTGGTATATGCATATGTAGTTCATGATAAAATATTTTATGATAAATGGTAATTTGGTGGAATCTATTAAAGACTCATGAAAACCATATTACTTATGATGTATCTGTCCAAGATGCAGTTGTTTAGAAGGTGAGTTCTGCAAGAGAATCATTTGTGTGTGTGTGTGTGTGTGTGTGTGTGTGTGTGTGTGTCAAAACAAAACACCCTTGCATTAATGATGAAACATGAGGCATGGATTGACAGTACTCCTTGCCAGTTGGCCAATGTATAATCTCTTTGGCTGAAAGGCCTTTATTGAATGTAGTCCAATCCCCTTTCCCTCAGTGAATTTGATGAGAACTCTAGATTAAATGCTTTCACAGTTCCTCCCTTACTCTGTTGAGTTTGCTTTGTGTGCTCTCTAACCTAGAAGCATCACTAGCTCTTATTTAACTTGTGATCACATCAACTGTACAACTAATGTTCAGTGGATTCATTCTCTGTAGGAGACAGATTTGCAGCATGTTCTCACCAATGGTGGTCTTTATCTTCCATTGTTGTGCTCCTACCACAGTTATTGGGTGGATGAGTGTTTCCTTACCTCTCTCTGGAATCCTTGAGAAACAGTAACAACCCGTCTGGTGGAAAAGCATAGTGAGTAATTTAGTGAATGGAATTACAATGACTGATATGGAAACTAGAATGTTTTATGGATAAATAATGCATATTATACAAAATAAAATATCTAATGAAAGTATAATACACTTATTCAAACTATAACCTACATAATATTTAATATGCAGAAGGAAGAGATTGCTTGTTATCTGTCTGACCGGCATTTTATAATCATAATTACACACAAAACACTAACTTTATTCAGCATATTAAATGTCTAATAGGAGGATTATATTCTGTTGATTCTTTCCATTTATTGTGACTCAGGAGATATAAATAAAATTATTATTTAAGATTTTTTTGGAATGCCTCCAATATAGAAATTTAAAAGAAACCTGGGCAGTGACCTTCCATAGATTTCCCTTTTTATGCATTTCTTTGCGGGGACAGGATAGAGGCATGCTGTCCCCAAACAGCTCAAGTTCTTAAATGAACATCAAAACCGATACAATGGGTCAGAGTTGGGCATCAAAAAATATAAAATTCCATGTCTCTCAAGGCCTTAGGGTTCTTTTGCCAGCCTGTCAATCTGTTTTGCAGTTATTCATATGAGAAAAATGCACAGTGCTATTAAAAATTAATCTAGCTTCAATGCACTGTAAGTGAAAGAAATGAGGGAGGAGAAGCCAGACAGTTGATATGTGAACAAGGAAAAAGTAACATAATGATGAAGATGGATGACAAACGGCATGCTGGTTAGAAGAGCCATTGTGAAAACATGATCAAAAGCACAATGTGACGACGTGATTTACAGGAGTCACCTAAACAGCAGGAGATACATGTGTTGCTTGATGTGTATTAGTGTGTATTTTTAAGGATGCATGGTTTTTGAATAGTATGAATAATTTTTTATAGATGTTGAAATAGGAACAATGCTGGAATGACTAATAGAGATATTGAGTATTTCACAAGTAGAATGCTAGAAATAGCTGAGCATGAGATGCCAGTTGATGAGAACATCTTCCAAATCATTTTGGCAAGAAATAAGGGAAGGCTTGGGTCCTATAAATACATGGTGTCCATGAGCCCTCATTGCAAAATGTCTGTGTGTTTTCCTTAGTTCCCTCTTTACTAAGGTGAATTTCACCAAGCAGATAGTTATTTGTTTTAAAGTGAGAAGTCAGTAGTGTTTACTGGGCTCACAGTGAGGTGTCACCATCGTTGCCTGATTCCAAAGCATTCTAATCAACCAGAACAAAACCCCATAGCCACAAGGCAGTCATTCTCCATTTCCCTTCCTCTAACTCCTGAGCTTCACCAATCTCTTTTTGTCCCTATGGATTTATCTTTTCTGCATCATTTATGCAAATGGAATGATATAATTTTCTCCAAGAATGTTTTAGAATTGTACCCACACTGTATTATGTATCCATAACTTAAGCCTTTTATGGCTGAATATTTATTCATTTCTGAATGTTACTTCTTGTTTTGTATGAATAATAATGTGAAATTTTCCTTAAATGATTTTATTTGTATTTCTCCCGTATCTACCAAGTACTTACTGGCTCTAAATAAACCATCTTCTCCTTTTCCTTCAGTGTTCTTGCCTATGCTAATTCAATTACCTAAGTTACATTCCTGTTGCACCCCAAGTTACTTGGCTAATCAGATTGTTATGTTATCCCTCCCAACCTATTCGACCAACTAGATGTGAAGCCCTCAGACAAAAGGCCAATAACAACATTTCTGCCATGTCAGAGTTATTTCTTGTGATTGAAAACTTTTTAAGGCGAAATCATGCAATGTATTTCTATATCACCCTATGAGGGATCCAAACATTTGTTACTATGGCTAAATATAATTTAAATATTTTTACAGCAAATTAGAACCCAATTCCCGTTTATAAAATGATTACCGACATAGTCTATTAATTTATTTCTAGGGCCAAGAAGATGGGCAGGATAGATAGTAGTATTCCTGCATTATTATTGTTAATTTTTCAGACTTAAATTCTTACTCAAAGACTCACTTTCTGATAGCAATTGCCAGGGCTAAGGTTGAAACCCGAGCTTGCACTTATACAGTGGGCATGACTTTCTCTTTTAAAACTAGATTTACTTTGAAGCCTTTGGCTTAAATGCTACAAACTCAATTAAACTGAGATCTGGGGGACTTGGCTAGGGAAAAGATGTTCATGATGGGAGTGGAAAATTACTGCTTGCTCTCAGTTTCATAGGACCATAAAACAGCTTCAGGGATTTCCATTATTTTATTGATGGACTCCTTAAATTGCATTTTACTTATCTCTCTCCCTATTCACAAAAATCCCTAAAGATCCTGTGGTGTGATTTCATACCTTCTTCCCTCTTGGGACAGTGTGACCTTTTCGTGCCCTCACCATGCTGAAGGATGAGCATAACTTACTAGTCCCTCATTGCTTCTCATGCTGATATGACACTACACCATTTTAATGTTTAGCGGTCTTGAACTGAAAGTGACCTCAAGAGTTGGGGAAGGGATTACGTTCAGTAGCTCATAGACCTGTCTCGAGGTTGTGCTGTAACTCACACGTGCTTAGTTCCCACTAACAAGGCTCCCACTAAAATTTATTTCACTATTGCTCTCTTGAATCACCCCACCTCCTCAGTCTCAAGGGTCGATTACTAAATATAAGCATGGATGACCAGCGATAATGGTCGACGATAGAAAGTTACTCATCTTTAGTGTATATTCTATTCAATAAATTTAAAGCATTGGCTATTTCAGAATTCTAAGAGGACAAGTATTTGAAACCAAAAATATGAAAGATAGATACTGCCTTCTGTACTTATATTGAGGAATGCTTTTTCAGGTGCAAAGAAACAAAATTTCTCTAAATGGCACGGATTAGGAAAGGAGAGTATCATATTTACACTAAAGGTATTTAGAAAGTGAAAACTATCGCCAGTCATAGTGGTGGGCATCCAGACTGAGCTGAGGTTTAGCATTGTTTTCCTACTTCCCCTGTGTTAAAAATCAAATGTCTCTCTACACATGTGAACATTTCTCTCTCTTCTGTGTTGATAGGGATGGCTAGCATTGTATGCTTGGCATAATCTAGAAAATGCAAGGTAACACACTTCAGGGCGTATTTGTAAGGAAGATTCCGAAATGAGATAACTAAGGTAAGATGACCTCCCTGGTTATGGATGGTACCACTCTGCGTGGAGCATCAGACTGAGTGAAGAAGCAGCAGCAAACTGATCATCAACAGTGATACCTCTCCAAATGTGGATGCTCTGGTGCAAGCTTCCTGGTATTTATACTGTAGAATTCCCTGCCATAATGGTCTATGAGCCAGAAATAACCCTTCTTTAGTTGCTTTGAAAACACACACACACGAGAGAGAGAGAGAGAGAGAGAGAAAGAGAGAGAGAGAGAGAGAGACAGACAGACAGACAGAGAGACAGAGACAGAGAGAGACAGAGAGACAGAGACAGAGACAGACAGACAGACAGACAGAGACACAGAGAGAGAGATTCAAAACAGACAGACCTATCAGTTTCTATTATTTTTTTTAATTAAATTTAACTATTTGGTTGCTTAGTTGGAGCATGATGTAACTTCCATAGATCAAATTCAGGATGCCATACTTGAGGGCAAGTGCCTAGCCAATATCTATTCTTCTAATTTGTGAATATTGAATACATGTCCATTTTAAAGTCCTTCACTTTATTCAACAAAGTTAAATTATTTTAATCTGGCAGATACAAACTTAAATGCTTTACACTGAATTATATTCATTAATATCATGCAATTAATTTTTGATCATTTAAATAAATAGACCAATTCCTCACTGCCAAAGGTCTTACAGAGCATGCCTCAGCCAGTATTTATTTAAATATTTTAACTTTCTACCAACAAAAGGCATATCCTAATGATTTTGTTGGTGGATTCTAGCACAGTCTTAGGAATGAAATTGCATTATCTGGCTCTGGCTGCTCTGGCCTTGCAAAGCAGCAGTTTCAGAATCTGTAGCGGGAGAATTTAAAGCCATGGTGAGCCTGGACAACCTAACTAGGCTCTGCTTCCAAATAAAGTACCAGTAGGAGAGTGAGCATTACCTCAGTGTAGTGTGTGCTTAGCATGAGCCCGTCCTTCGTTTTTAGTCCCCATAACACGAACTCATAAACCAGAGACAGAAATTATGCCTGTTATCTACAATCTCTTCCAAAAAGTAGAAGTAGGCTTACATATGCCAAAAATAGTGCTGCAATACAAGATATGCTAATATGTTATATACTAAAATATTTGCCATTTTCTAAATATGCATGTGTGAAAATGTACATATACCCATAGAGTTCAAGATAAATTTGTATTTTTATGGAATTTATGACAACTGCCTTTTGATTAACCTCTATCTTTATTCCTATACATCATACAAAGTTTAAGAGGTTTTGTTTCTACGTTAGACATCTTCCTATCTGTGAGTAAAACTGTGTACTGAGCAATAAGCAAAGTGTGAGACAGTAGAATACTTTAAAAACGAAGAAATGTGAACTTCTCTACCAAGGGAATGACTTGCAAACACTGCGCTCTTTGTTGGTGTACCATTTCTTCACGCTGATGTTACTTAACTGGAAGTTTCAGCACTAACTGACTCCAGTTATCAATCTCAGTGGCATATTAGTTCATGACTGTTGTTGAGATATCGTGCCTGGGGAAAGCATATTAGTTCATGACAGTTGCTGAGATGACATGCCTGGAGAAAGCCCTCTTAACGGATGACGCTGACTCACGGTTTAAAGGACGAGCTTCTCAATACGTTCTTAGGTTCAGTTTGCCAGTATTTTATTGAGAATTTTTGTATCACTGTTCATAAGAAAAAAAGGTCTGTAATCCTATTTGTTGAATCTTTGCATTGTTTGGGTAACAAGGTGACTGCAGCCTCATAAAATGAATTTGGCAACATTCCTTCTGTTTCTATTGTGTGGAATAATTTGAGGAGTATTGATACGAGATCTTCTTTGCAAGTTTGGTAGAGTTCTGTGCTAAAATCAAATTGCCCCTGGGATATTCTTGGGAGACTTTAAATAACTCCTATTTCCTCATGGATTATAGATCTATTTGAGTTGTTTATCCAATCTTGATTTAAATTTGGCACATGGTATCTATTAAGATAATTAGCCACATCTTTTAGATGTTCCAATTTTGTGAAGTAAGGTGGTTTTTTTTTTTTTTAATTATTTTTGTTTGTTTTTTCTTTTGGATTTTTATCTTCCTTCCTTCCTTCCTTCCTTTCTTTATTTCTTTATTTCTCTTTTGAGCCCAGTTTCTCTTGTATTCCTGGTTGTCTTGAAACTTACTCTGTAGACCAGGCTTGCCTGGAACTCACAGACACAACTGTCTCTGCCTCCAGAGTGCTGGAATTAAAAGTGTGTGTCAGTGTACTCCACACAGTGTAGAAGTCATGCAGACAGAAGCTTGAGATGGTTATATTGCATCGTGAGGAAGGAAACGGAAATTCACGATTATGCTCAACTGGCTCCCTTTCTCCTCTCCATACAGTCCAAGAATTACCCCAAGGGAATGCTATGGTACTCCTTCTAAAGTAAGCATTCCAACAGCAATGAGAGAGGAATACAGGGGATGTATTCATTAGTGGACTGGTAGTCTCAGCAACAGCGGTAAGTATTCCTACCCCATTAATCAATCTAATCAAGAAACTTTCTCTCGAAGATGCCCAAAGGCTTATCTCCTCAGTGATTCTAGTTCCTTTCAAGTTGGTAAATAATCTTAACCGCAAGAACTGGTTTGTTTTAAAGGCATCAATAAAGGAAACAGAACTCAAATTATGTATGAACAATCATATAAAACATATGTCATAACTGATACAAACAGCAAGGATTTTTTAACAGAGTGAGTGAATATAGGAAGCCACTTTATCAGCACGATGCAAATTTCAATTGTGCCTATTAAAGCTGGAAAATTAACAAAATTATGTGCACTTGATGAGGCATATTAAGTATTTTAAAACTATTTCTGCTAAGTTTTTCCTGATCACTTACTAATGACTATAGTTTTCTTTAAGTGTCCCATGCACATTGTGTAAAATATAATAAAGTAAAGCAAAATTCTTATGCAGATCCTGGCATTCAGTCTCACAAAGAGGCATTCACACACTTTCATATACATATACGCCTTGCTATACACTGACACCCACACACAAATTTGTGGCTACCACTAGACATGCACACACACACACATTCACTCCTCCAAGGACACACACATACTCATTTCCACACATATGCACTCACACACGTGCACATACATCCTACATGAAGATATTCATAAACACTCATTGGTTGCTACACACAGACACTCACATACACACATTCATTACCACTTGGAGACACCCATATACATGCACATTCCTTACACACATGCTCACTTACACACAATTCATTTCTATACATGGACGTTCACACATGCATAAACATTTAAAGTTTATCAAAGCTAAGAGCTGGATTACATGAGTAAATACAAAGCCACAAAGGCAAGGTTTATTTCTTTAAGAAACTAGCATTTTCACTCTTAAAATACTTGTTTTATGTAATCTGAAAGTTTATTCAACATTGTTCTTATCTGTCTTATATTTTTATTAAGTGTAAATACATATTAGTGAACCAAATATTAAATAATCAGATAAGAATAGTAGTTAGAAAGAGTTAGAAAATAATGAATATGAGAAAGCAGAAAATAAAATTCTATTCACTAATCTTTTCATATCAATATGCAATTCTTAATTTTATTATATCCCTGTTAAATAAGTTGATCTATAAAAGCATTTACAAATTAATCTAATTATATTTAATAGTATTTCCTATATTAAGCTAAGCTAATGATACAATGATAATATTTAAATTGTTACATTTGGGCTATGAATATATAAAATATCTTTTGAAAAAAGATTATAATATTATTATCGTGATCATTTTACTATGCATTAATGTCAAGAAAGAAATATTCAAATTAAATATGCACATAAATATGTTAATCTACTGTTTTTTTTATCATAATTGTAGCTTAATACAGACACACAGAACTTCCACACTGACTGCTCACACACAATAAAACTGTAAAAGATGTGTGTCCTCCTTCGTTACCCAGGCTTCCCATTGGATCATGATCATCATGATGTGCACCTTTTTTTTGACTGGCAAAATAAAGTTTTAAATAGACTTCATAAAAATTCCTCCTAAAGCTATAATTAGTACTGAAACAAACTTAAAATCATGGCCACTTATCAGTATAAAAAAAAACATAAAAGCAACATTATTGCTTATGTCATTGCTATTATAACAACACAATTTAATCTTGTGTCTTAAAACTGCATGGTCAATTTAAGCATTTTTTAGCATCTAAAAGTCTAATAATACTTTTATCCAATAATGTTTTCAAGGTCACTTTGACCTGGCTTGTAGACTAATACGAAATGTTAAATAGAATTAGAACTCTACTCCAAATAAGCTATTTTAAAGTACATTGCTGTAGCCGGGATTTGCTATTTGGGATCATTAGTAGAGAAAATAATTTAAAATTTTTATCCCATAAAGCAACTCTAATGGATTGACCAGAATTATTCATTTATCTTGAAAACAACATGATGAAAGATAAAGACAAAATCAATTTCAGTGCACTTTGCTTTATATCAAACATGTGGAATTTGATGGCAGTTGATTATAAGAGATTGCCATATGAAAATTTTAAGGAAAACTTGGAATTTAACTAACATGTACAACCTAACAGCAAACTAACAGCTTGACAGCTTGTGAAAATTGAAGGTGGGATTGGTTAATTTACTCCGTTAGGTCTACTGAGTTGAAAAAAAATCTTTACAATTACAGAGCTCATTTTGTTAGAGAATACTGTTTATACAGAACAAAGAAGAGTTCTTTTGAATAGCAGTGAAGAGGCAGATAGTGATTAAGGCACAAACCGTATTCTGGGCAAAGCACATCACATATTCTCCTGAGCTCAGGCATTTTGGCTGAACTGAGGGTGGTATAACACAGAGCCTTTCATTCCTTCCTTGAGATAGAGGACTGGAAAGAAATTGTGTTATAGGTATTGATTTAAGCACAATGGCTAAAATAATTATCAAAATACGCTGGTCTCCTATATACCCAAGACTTGTTTTGTCTTGGTTATAATAAAAACAGCAACAAAATATTCAAGATGTTATATATATGTGACCACTGAAGTTTGTCCATGTAAAATAATTGCTTATAATCTTGTCTCCAGTGTACAGCATCTTCACAGAGCTAGTCTAGTTAAATTGAGTTCATTCAAGTGAGTACTAACCCATTGTGATTAATTGTTGCAATGTGTGTCCAAATGAAAGCACAAAATTTGTGTGTAGAAAGGTACTCAAACATAGAACACCATGTAACAAAACTAGAGCAGACTGCACAACAAGAAATACCCACAGATAGCCATCAACACAGGAAGTTAAGAGGACAGGAAATTGTTTGTCTCCCAGGGAGTTTTTCCAGGGAATTCAACAGTATGAACTTGAAGACCCCAGGCTTTTGGACTTCTGACCTCCACACCATGATTTAGCCAACCAGTTTGGAGTACTTTGTTGTAGTGCTCCAAACTATATATAGGCCCCCAAGCTAGCATCTGTCCTATCCAGAAGAGTTCTAAAGAGCACCGCAGGCTGTCACAGCTGATGCTGTAATGTTGCAAGTCCACATGGCACTTTCCACAGATAATTCATATGCAGCCCTACAAAGCCAACCTCAAAAGTTTATGGACAGAAGTCAAATCATCAACGCTAAATCAATTACTCATAAGATAATTCACTAAGGAAATTGAAATTTTGCATTGAGATGATTGAAATTTAGAAGGAGTGTATCAATGTAAATGGGCCAAAAACCAGGCCGAAAAGGTCCCCATATTAAAAGAAAAGAATGTTCTGGTGAATCAAGTGAAAACTTCAGCAATGGGGAACTTGCAAAGAAGAGCCAACTGAAATAGAGCAGAAGAAATGAAAACACAGAATTGTTATGTAATTAGTGAAAATGTGCAAAATCAGAGCATAGAAAAATCAGCAAAACCATGAATTGTTTCTTTGATAACATTAATTAAATTTATAAAAGATGCGTAGAATTACAGAGAGGGGAAAAAAGAATGAGAGAGGAGAAATTATCAAAATCACTAACTTAAGAAACAGAATGAGGTATATTACTCTTGACCTTGTAGAAATGTAAAGAATTATTTAAGAACCTTTGAATAACAATATGCCAAAAAATTCATAAAATTTAAACAAAAATGTTCCCAGTGAGTACTGATACTTTTATTGTTAGTATAACCCATATTTTAGACATTATAGGTTCAAAACTTTAGTGATTTCTTCAATACATTTTGTTTCAAGAAGGGATTTTATGACATCATTGTAATTTAAGCCCCAAAATGTGCATTTGGTATGTATTTGGTATGTATACGTACATATGATCTCTAGCATGGTTTCTTCATAGCTGTTGCATAGTTTTAAAAGTGGTTTTACAGAGTTGGTCATAAACAAGATTTTATCTTTTGTTTTATGTAACAGGTAGCATAAAATATACTAAATTTTCTGACAGTTCAACTGTGGGACCATTTTTATTAATGCTTTTATTAATTTACATAAACCTTAGAACACACTTCCCCTCTCTTCTAATAATTTGCAAAGACAATACAGACCCCCATTCTGTTTTGATTAAATGCTTCTAATCAAGTCGTAGACAGCTCAACCCATGTAAAACTCTTCTTTTCTTTGTATTTGCTTTTTAATTGTTTTTCCCTGATTTACGACAATAATGTGCCCCTTAGTAGGACAGTTAAAGACACGGAAACTTGAAACACATATTTCTTAGCTCCTTTCCATTCTTCTCTTTTGGATCCCACACATGTTCATACGCAGCACACTTGCTCGTGTTTACATTGCACACAACTTCACATGTGTCTTATTTCTGTTACTGCAACTTCATATTTAACATACTATGGATATATTTTAAATTATTTAAATATCTGTTTATACACACATGCATACACACATATACACAGACATATAGATCTTGTAATAAGTAATATCTTTCTAATAATTAGCTTTATATGCTAATATAAATAAAGGAATGGAAAAAAAACCATCTGAAATACCCATAATCTGCCTGCCTTTATGATGAAATACCAGTTGTAAAGTTATGCTATTGATTTGTGTCTTGGTTTCAGCACATAGCAAGCACAGATCAGGTTGCGAACAGAGGTCTGTGTTGATACTCCAGCTTTCTCTTGTGTTCCAGGATGCTTCTCCTCTGTGGTCCTCTTCCAATCTCAGGTCAGTGCAGGGGTGCCTCAGAATTGATTCGAATCTCTAATGCTATTTCCTGAAAGACGTGGGCCTGCTCCCATTGATTTAGTTCTTTATCTGAGGAATAAGGCCTAATTCTTATAAGCTAATTAGTTCCATTTTGTCTGAGGAGGGAGCAAAGTCTGGGATACTATTAAGTCAATTACCTTTGATTTATCCTTTCGAACCACAGTTAATCCTATGTTTAAGTCATACCTCCTATCTGCCTGTCTTCTTTTTGACTCCAAACTGCCTGAGCCCCACCCTGATGTGAATACTAAGAAGACTTTTTGTAGGTGTTCCACTGTGTATTTCTTTTGCTGCAGGCTTCCAATTGTGTTGATGCTCTAGACATCTTTTAAAACTATCTGGCTTTAAGATAACATTTTATAAATTTGAAAATGAAAATGTTAGATACATATTTCTTATGCAATTAAGGCCCTCTAATACACACACATGTAAGGGCACACACACCCACACATACACACACATGTATCTTCTATTCCAGTTTTAAGGACTGTCTGTCCCTTGCTTTGCTGCAGATATAAATCCTCTTACTGATTCCTTCATGAAAATCTTGCTGGCCCCGTGGTTTGCATTCATGAGGGCTCCAGAGAAGGTCCAGAGAGCTAGGTGCAAAGATGAAGCCCTTGTGTAGGAAAGAGCAGGAACAGTATCATCCCAGATGCCATAAGTCTACTGCAGCTTAATTACTCCAATGTTCATTTACATAGCACATGATAATGAAAGTCTCTCACAGAAACAGGTTAAATATTCATCAAGCCAGTAATACAAAAATATTCTCTGTAACAGATATAAATCATTTCCAAATGACTTTTAGAATTTCTCAAAGAATTGTTTGAATTTCAATGATTTTACTTGTTAAGTTTGTTTTCTGTTACTGTGACAAACAAGACCCAAAGGTATTTGGGTAGAAAAGAGTTCATTTGGCTCATAGGTTTTTTTTTTTTTTTTAAGGGAAGTCAAGGCTAAAGCTGAAGCAGGAACCTGGAGGCAGGTGCTGAAGTAGAGACCATGGAGAAACGCTGATTACTGATTTACTTTCAATGGCCTAAGCGGCTTGCGGTCTTCTACAACCAAGGCGTTCTCACTCCCAAATCAAACGTTTATTAAGAAAAGGCCCAAAGGCAAGCCTGCTGGCCAATCTTATGGAGACATTTCCCCAGTTGAAGGTATAGTCCCAGGTGACTCTTATTTGTGTAGAATATCAAATACTAATCTATATATAACCTATATTCTTAACTTTATTTTTGAAGTGAACATAAACAGTTCAAATTGTCTTGGAAGATATGAGTATCTTTCTATGCAGAGATTTAAGGATGTTAATAATTCTTTTTCTGGAATGACTCATAGATTGGGTACATCAATTATCTGAAGATTTTTATTTCCAGGATTTTGTTTTCTATAGTCATTTTTTTACTTCCTTTTCTAGTTATACTTTCATATTGCTTTATATATATTTGCCAGTAGCTGTGTGGATATGCATGTTGAATTCAAACTCAGATAAATTAGCATTAATTTTGGTTCTTATTTGGTTGTGTGTGTGTGTGCCCGCCCATACAAGTTCAAGTCAGACCACATCCCTGCAAGGATAGTGGGGGTTAATATGAAATAATTCCCCTGCCCAAGAAGATATTGACAATTGATGGATGCAAGGAGAAAAAGTATCAGTCAGTATTCTTTAACAATGTTGCCCATGAAAATAAACCATGCTCTATTAGAAGAAAACACATTAAAGAATATATGGGAAGAACAAATTGGGCATGATAGAAGACAAAGAGAGGAGAGAGAGAGAGAGAGAGAGAGAGAGAGAGAGAGAGAGAGAGAGAGAGAGAGAGGTTAAGGACACCCAGAATAGGTTGAGAAGACAATGTAAACATCTAATTTGGTACTGTGGAGGTCTGAATGGGGTATCCCCAATATTCTCCAATAGCAGAATGCCTGGTTGCTAGTTGGTAACACTATTTGCATAGATTTAAGAAGTGTGGCCTTGCTGAAAATAGACTTTGGGATTTCAAAGGTCATGTTACTTGAGGAAGGGTATTCAAAAGCCATTCTTCATTTCCAGTGCACTCTTAGCTTCCTGACTGTGGATCAAGATGTGAGCTGTTACTGTCACCATGTCTACTGCTTGGCTGCTGAGCTTCCCTGTATGGCAAGTAACTGACTCCCCTCTGAAACTGGAAACTCCAAGTAAACTCTTTCCTCTTTTTCTATAAGATGACTTGATCACGGTGTTTTATCACAGCTAAATAAACCAGACAGTGTCAATAAACACAGGTTTTCCTAGATATGTTCAGACAATAATTAACTGTAATACAAATTGAGCACCATGAAAGCATTCTTGGTTGTCAACTTGATTACAAATGGAATTAACTAAAGGGAAGTGACTCAGTGCACGACTTTTTTTTTATAATTAAATCATTTGAAGTGGTAAAATCTTCTTTTTTAGTCCCAATCTTCTGAAGTGGGAAGATACACCTTTAATCCAGACCTTTTAGCTGGGAATATCTACCTTCAATCTGGGCCAACCCCTCTCTTGGAAGCCTATATAAGGAAAATGGAAGAAGGAAGCATGCTCTCTTTGCCTGTTTGCTCTTGCTCACAAACCCCTGATACTAATATAAATAAAAGTGAATGGAAATAGTTACTAAAAGTTATTTAATATTATTAAACAGTCAAAGTAGTTTGAAAGTTTGAAATTCCAAAATTCACTGGCACTTCCCAAACTCCCTGTCAACTATATTTATCGTCAGGAAGATCCTAAGTCTGCATATGCTTCCTCAAGGAGTGGGAGGAGAGGGAAGGTGGAGAATAACTAAGAGTAAATCTTTTGGGAGAAGTATCTCCTAAATTAGCAAATTTCATTGAATTTTCCAGACAGATGAGTTTTTGCTTTTAGATTGCTCTTCTTTGTCACTTAAAATATAGCTGTGCTTCTGAGTTCTCTCACTTCCTTTCTTAACACAAATGCATTTTAAAGAATCCTCTCCTTATATAAACTTTTGAAATGGTAAAATATGGTTCAGATAGTTACATTAATTTCTCTTTTCTGGCATCTAGTTCTAATCATTTTTTTGGGAAGTTGAACGCTACTCTCCACTAGTCAGCATGCCAAACATTGACTCTCATGTTTATTTTATAGTTAGATGCTTGTTTTTGAAATTTTAGGTTGGATAATAATACAGAAAACCAAACTGCTTTCCAATGGAAGCATTATTTAGTGATTTAGACAAAGCAGGACAATGGCTTTGAGGTAGACTCAAGATGGAAAGGTCTCTTAAGCATCGTGGTACCACCTTTGTCCTTTTATACACAGGTACATTTTGTCTACCCCTCTATGTCCTCCCTCATTTACTCAAAATCATTAACTTATTTTTCATTTCTAAAACCTACAACTTATTTTCTGTTTCTAAATTCTGCTGTTTCTAAACTGTCAAATTCATAGAACCACACAGCATATGATTCATGGGAATAGTCTGTTAGTTTTTCATCATCATTCTCTGGACATTTATATGAACTATATTAACAGCTGAGTCCTTTAGCATCAGATTCATTGATTCCAATATGCCACAAATCACTCTGCATCAGCTTTTGAAGAATATCTATGTATACTGTTTGCATCATACTCATGTTTTTGTATGAACAAATCTTGCCATTGGCTACAGTGAATAGCCCAAACTATATTTGCTCAGGTGTATGACACATAAATATTTAGAAGAAAGAAGTGAAACTGTTGTCTTCCAACTGATTAAGATATTTACTAAATAAGTGGTAGACGTTTGTAAGAAAATAGTTCTTTTTCTATACAATTAAGTAATTTGAATATGCTGTGGTTCATTTTTTAACTCAACCTACCACAAATTAAAAAAGTCCTCTTGAGTGGAAACCTCCGTTTGTATTTATTGATGGTGGAAGACGTGTCTGATTGTGAGCAGCAACTTCAAACAGCAGCCCAGCCAGAGGGTGTGGGTCAGGACGAAGATCGCTTGCCTTTTGTTCCCTTTGCCTTGCCTCTCATCACGGACCTGATTTACTGGTGCTGCATCTGATTTTTTTTTGTTTTGCTGATATTTGAGCCAGTGTTTCCAGCCTTCCATTGGGGTGTAAGACCCAGCCATTCTCCTGGAAGCTTCCAGGTTATCAGCACTGGATTGGACTGCTGAGATACCCAGCTTGTGGACCAATTACCTGATTCTCAGCATCTCAAATATGATTCAGCTGTTGGCACAATTTTAATATATGTTGACCTAATAAATTCACACATGCAAACACACACACACACACACTTCCTTTGTATCTCCAAAGAACCTGAGTATACATACATTCTAGCTCTAGAAAAATAAAATGTACATTGATATTCTATATCCCAAAATATACTTGTCAGAGAAAGACACCAAATTGGATGTCAGAGAAAGACACCAAATTAGACATGTTATTGGATTAAACATGTTCAATAATATCCTCACTATTTTGAAGCACATACACAAAATATCCACAAATGATGTACAATTCCCCTCTGTGTGCTGTGAATATGTTTTATTACCATTGGTTGATGAATGAAGTAGTTTTGGCCAATGACTTAGCAAAGCAAAGCCAGGTGGTAATTTGAACAGAGATCAAGAGAGTGGGGGAGTCAAAGACAAGCCCTGCAGCTGCCAAAGGATAAGAACCTGGAATTTTTCCTGTAAGTCACAGCCTCATGGCAACACAGATTAATAGAAATGGTTAGGTTAAGATCTAAGAGTTAATTACTAAGAAGCCTGAGCTAATAGTTTAAAGAGTGTAAATTGATATAGCTAATTAATGAATATCTAATATTAATTTTAATATAGATGTTCATTAATTAATATAGTTTCTGTGTGATTATTTCAGTCTATGCAGCCTGGAAACAAAAAAGCAGTCACTTACTACACTCAAAACTACTCAAAGTCCCACTAAGATTAAAATCAATAAACAATTTATGTTTTTTGTGCACAACAGACAACTAGCCAACAATGATAACAAATGACCTTTATTATAAATCATTACAGAAATATTTCCTAAATGTAATTTTAAATGCAGTATGCTAGACAGAAAATAAGTATAGAGCATGTATAATCAATTTATACATAATACAAAAGCATAAAAAGAGGTATAATTTGTTTATGCAGTTAGGAATCATGAGCTTAGTTATTCTTGGCTAAGAATGACTGAGAGTGAACAGAAAGAGGATTGGGTTGTAATTTCTTGTAATTATTTTAGTAATATGGCGTTCTGCCTTCTGCACATGACATAGCCATTTTTTTTTCTTGAACTAGAGAAGCTTTGATTGTCAAACCAGCCCCTCATGACAATGGTTTCACCTACATTTCCTGTACAAGTGAGAATTCAGGGCTACATATGAGGCAGCCTGTCCCAACAGGTTCTGTATGTAAAGAACTGGGCCATATGTATTCTCAGCCTTTGGTTGAGAACAGGTCAAATACTGAGACATATCTTAGTTGGACCACTGCTTCAGTTTCTTATGATATTAAAATCAAGGCGTTGCCTAAGGATGGAATCATGTCAAAACATGCCTGAACAGATTCACTTCTAAGCTCACATCTGTGGCTTTGCCTGAATTCAATTTATCGAGAGTTGTAGGGTAAGAATCAAATAATATTCTGCCTGTTAATAAGAACCCTACTGTTTCTTGTCATGTGGTTTTTCTCAACAGAGCCCTTCTGCTGAGACAAAAACATCAAGAGTGCGACGGTGAGAGCAAAAGGGAAGTCATTATGCTTTGTAATCTAATTGTGCAAGAAGCATCCCTTCATCTTTGCCTCAGGCTATTGAATAGGAGATTAGAGATTACATAAGGCTATGAAAAGCACAATGCTGGGATCATTGTGGACCATCTTAGGTACTTTGTCTACGGTCAAGGTAGATTTTGAAGCTTAGCCCAAATATGTTTTCCTTTAGATTTGTAAAGAGGATTTTAAACAGGCCAGTGTGCGTTTTGTCCTTTGTGATGCCGAGTAGTGGAAGCCTCATTCCATACCTTAATTTTCTCACTTTATTAGTTGCATAGTGATTTTTGCCTATTTCTAACAATGTTCTGAATAAGTGATAGTGTTATCATATAATAAATTATTCAGTTACAAAATAAATTCATCTAAATTTCTGACTATGCATCCCAGTACAAAGTTAAACAAAATCACTAAGAGCTGATGTTCTTTATTTCTGTTCCAAACACAGAAAATATTCAGGCCGTCATCATAAAGTGTGAACATATTTACAGGCTAAGAAAGAGTACAGATACTCTTTACCTTAGTTTAGGTTACTATTGCTATGACAAAATAGTGTGGCCAAAAGCAAGTTGGGGAGGAAAGGGTTTATTTCACTCACAGGTGTATATAACAACAGTTCATCATCAAAATCAGTAACAGTAGTAACTCAGGCAAGGTAGGAACCTGGAGGCAGGAGCTGATACAGAAGCCATGAGGAGTAATACTTACTGGCTTGTTTCCTATGGCTTGCTCAGTTTGCTTTCTCATATATGCCAGGACCACCAGCCCAGAAATGGCCCCACCCATAATTGGCAGGGCCCTCCTCCATCAACCACTAATTTAAAAAAATGCCCCACAACCAGATCTTTTAGAGGCATTTTCTCAACTGAGGTTTCCTCCTTTCAGATAACTTTAGTTTGTATCAAGTTTCCATAAAAACGTCCAGCACACCCTGCACCAGGCTGAGAATCATCTTGTTTTACATTTATTTTAATTTATTTTCATTTTGAGAATTTCATACATGGACATAGAGCCTTCATCCAGCAATTGAAGTAAGCAGAGGCAGAGAGCCACAGCAGAGCACTGGGCTGAGCTCCCAAAGTCAAGCAGGTATAATCTTTGAGAAGAGAAAGAGTAGATATCCGTGTTAGAATGGGCTAAGATGGTGTGGCAGAGGAGAGAGAGAGAAAGGGAGAAGGGGAAGGAAACAAGGGAAACTAGACAAGGGTGCTTGTCCTGGAGGGACAAAGGACATCTCTAGAAAGAGAGGAGACAGACATGGTACATAGTCAAATGGCAGTTTGCAAAGGGAAAGGAGAAACCCAGATTAAGAATAAAATATTTTATTTTAATTGGGCATGTTGAAATGGTGATCCAAAGGGGCTTTTGATTGCTGGATTTTAATACGTTGATAGCTGTATCTTGGTAGCAGGCCTTAAGGGAAGAGAGTGACAAAATAAGGAAATAGACCTTGGTTGGCAGCTTTAGGAATGGAATCTAACTTTTTAGCAAGACAGCAAGATTGGAGGGAAAGGGCAAGGTCTGCCGCAGCCATGCTCACCACACTCAAGCTGGGCACAGCCCCTTGAAATGGAGCTTTAACTTCAAATGACATGATTTTTATAAAATATATAGAGGAAGTATGGAAGGAAGAAGGAATGAAGGAAGGAAAGAAAGAAAGAAGAAGAAGAAGAAGAAGAAGAAGAAGAAGAAGAAGAAGAAGAAGAAGAAGAAGAAGAAGAAGAAGAAGAAAAGAAAGAAAAAAGGCATAGGAATCTCTCCCATACAGAACAAAGGGAGGTCAAATGACAAGAGAATGAGACATTAGTCTGCTGTATGACAGTCTTTTCCTGAGAGATGCAGAGAACATACACCTACTCAGTTCAAAAAGGGAGCCATGACAAACCCAGGTAATATTCACTTCACAAATATTCACTTTCTGAACCAATGAGTTACTTACAGGAATTTGGGTAAGGGGTTTTAAGATCAGAAATGGCCTAAAGACAGTTGTATCATCAGCCCATCCCAGCACAGATGACAGACCACAAAAGCTAGAAATCTACAGCTCAGCGCATAGCCTACAGCCAGCCCAACAGATAGAAGTGTATAGACCAGGAGGTCTGAGCATCTTCCAACAGCTCAGCTGGTCTCTACTTCTTATAGATGGCTGGGGTTGTCTGAGAGTCTTCTTTGTAGCTTGACTTCTCTGAGACAGACGTTCAGCAGTCTTTACTGACTTTATGCTCTTGGGGAGTGAGGGGTTTAGTGTTTTTCAAGGACTCTATGAAGGAATTTTGTGTTGTTTACTTCCTGCTTTAATGATCTTCCCTGAATAATAAACTGTTTTCATCTTGGCAGGAACTGCACATGACATGGCTATCTACAAAAGAAGGCGTCTGCAGAATTCAGTCCTGACCCTGATCATAGACTTACAGTCTCCAGAATAAAAAAAAAAAAAAAAACTAAACTTTGTGGCTACCTCAACCAGACTCTAGTATATGGTGGTAACTCTCGAACAATACAGCCAATCTTTAAATTATTATGTGCTTTTATTCTCATAGGAAGCATGTGGAATTTAATGCATATGATTAACAATGCTACAAAAAATGTACAAATAGTCATTCTTATATAATTAATAGGTATTTGGTGCTGATCTCTTTTCATAATTTGTGAACAATTTGCCTATGGAAAATTAATACAAATAACTACAGCACTTCTAAAGTTCTCTGTACACTGTTCTCAAAATGTGTGGGTACTATTTAATTATAGTGTTGGCCATTTGAATTCAATGTGCTATAAAAGAAAACAAAAATAAACCTTTTCACTGTTTACATTGAATTGCTTCTATCCTATAGTTTCAGTTAATCTATTTCCTAGCTCTGATTAACCATTAACTAAAAGAGTGATGGGGTCTGGGAAAATGGACTCTGCGACAGTGTGGCAAGTTAATTTTAAAATCGCAAAAGGAAAACAACAAACTTTCCACATATTAAAATAGAATTGAAATTTAATGAATCTGAAATAATGAACCAATGGCCCAAACTGTTGTTTTGTTGAATGTATTCCATGTGTGAATAATAAAAACATCAGTAATTGTGACAATAGAAAGTAAAGCGTAGATGTTCAACGCCGTTGTGTTTCCCAGAGTGATTTCAGGTCAAAAGTGTCTGAATAAAGTTTATTTCCCTGGGACACAAAGAGCATTATTACTTCGTCACTTGCTTTTGGTAAAACTGTAGTCTGTTATAATCTTCACTATGATATTAGAATTAGAAAATCATATATTTCTTCTCCAAAAATTCTATGAATCAGTGATCAGTGGAATCAAGAACCCTCATGTCCTTGTAAGGCAGATAAACCAAAACCAGTTTTAAACTTTGTAACCATTAGATAATAAGATACATGTTATCTAAGTAACATTTACAGTATTGCTAGTATAACTTTTGATTGCTGAAATAGAACTTTTTTCTAAACACATTTTCAAGTTGTTTTTTCATGTTTCTGGAGTGGCACAATTATCCCATGGTGTGTTACTGGGGCGTTGTTGCCCAGTATAGCCTGATGCTATTTAGGCTCCTTTTCTACAGTGGTAAATTCCTGTATGATTTCTTTCAAAATGTCACTAGTGATAGTTAGACTTCCCATATTCCCACCTGTACTCTGGCCTCCCATTCTCCTCTCCATTCAATATTACTTGTATATGATTTCAGGGTTTACTACTTGGTATTGGACAAATAATCTGGGGCTCTTCTGTAAGAAACAACACTTGCCCATCTCTCAGCATCCCTTACTTGCTTGTAGTTCTTTATCTGGTATTGATAAGAATTCATGACTATACCTTTTCTGACATTTGCAGGAGACAAAAACCTCACAACAAACTCCCAGTTCCTTTGGCTGTCGCAATCACCCCGCCCATCTTCTATGATTATTGAATCTTAGGTGAAGCAGTGTTGTGTTGCAGAGATGTCTGTTGGGACAGGTTGATGTCAATGTGCACAATATTGGGATCAATTTTAGAAAGCTATTTCCTATTTCAATGAATACAGTGGTTTTCTTCACATTCTTCTCTTTAAGAATTGGTGCAAAAGGCGTATGTGGAGATCCTTTAACCACTTGGATTTGATTTAGTGCATAGAGAGAGATAAGATCCAGTTGCATGCTTCTATATATACAGCTATCTCTTTTGACCAGAAGCTATGAGATTGTATATTATGTTGTCTTTTCTCGAATCTGTATTGCTGGCCTCCTGGTTCAAGTCTTATCATTACTGTCTTTGTACATGCATATATTATATATGTGCATTGCTCAGTTACAATTATGACTAATTTATTTTTAAAATGCATGCTTTATACGACATTAGGCCAAAAGGGCTGTGTAAAGCGCTATTCCCATGAGACATCACTAGCACAAAATGAAGATCTTTTGTAGGCTGCGTTGACTTCCTAAAATGGGTCATAAGTATTGAAATGCAACAGCAAATGTAAATATCATATATGATGGAAAGATAGTTTAGGAATGTAGTTGTTATTCATAATTTCTTTTATGTCAAAAAGTCAGCCTACTTTTGTCTTTCAATTTTTTTTCTGGATAGATTATCTTGAATTTAGAAAAGCCAGTCCTTAATTAATAAAGCTTCAAAATTAAAAAGCCACTGTCAACTGTACACTCAGAGTGTGTGACTGTGCCTCCTGGCATTTCATTTCCTTGATATATGGCAACTGCATTTGAATATAGGTATTTAAAACCCCTTCAGGGAAAAGAAAGCATACTTAAAACCTGGTAAAAAAAATAAGTCCCTTAAAACTTAATTTAAAACCTTAAAAAATAAATTCAAATTAGTGGATATAGAGGTAGTATAATAATACAAATGCTAATATAATCAACTCTCTGTAAATGGAAGTTAAGGTCCCACCTGGTCCCACAGCCATTCAGTCCTAAAGAAACACACAGAGGCTTCTATTAATTATAAACTGTTTGGCCTATTAGCTCGGGTTTATTATTAATTAGTTCTTAAAACTTAAAATAATCTGCAAATCTTATCTATGTTTAGCCACATGGCTTGTTACCTTTTCTCAGTGAGGCATCCTTATCTTGCTTCCACTGTGTCTGGGTAGTGACTGCCTCTCTGCCTTTCCTCTTCCAGAACTTTCCGAGTGTGGTTACCCCATCTATATTTAATACCTGGCTACTGGCCAATCAGAATTTTATTAAACTAGTGACAAATCTTTACAGAGTGCAAGAGCATTATTCCACCGAATTTTCCCTTTTTATCTTTTCAAAGCGAGTCCAAGCCACCACTAAGCAGCATGCTGCTGGCTGCTCATCAAGACTACATAAGTGTTTGGTGAGAGAGTCTCTTAAAAGAGCCTCCATGGAGTTTTTCCTGCTAACACTGAGATAGAACCCTTTCTTAAAGGATCTGTGCCTCTGATTGCTACCAGAAAACAGAGCTTACCAAGTACAGAGTAATGAAGGTCACCAAGAAGCTGCATTTGTGTCTGTTCTTGTCTGTTCTCAGGCTTTAGGTGGAAATGCTTGACAAACATTTGGACACCATTTGTAACATGATTAATGAAAACCCAGAGACAGATAGTTATTGGTGTTCAAAATGAAGATCAGAAAAGCAAAGCAAACAAGTCACTAGAGAAGTCTTACCTCTACCAAAAACTGGGCAACATTAGACTGAATTTCCATTTGAAAAAATATTTTTTTAGAAAATTGAAAGCATAATTTATAAACTTGGAATCATAAAACATGAAAGTGTTTCCTAATGTCCTAAGAGTCTAAGAAAGATTAAATATTTTACATTGCTTATTTATTGTTGCTTTTATTTTATTCTTATTTTTATTTTAAAGCAAGGTGTTACTATGCATCTTTTGTTGAACTAAAATCACTATAGACCCAGATGGCTTAGAAATCACAGAAATCCACTTGTCTCTGCCTACATAGTGCAGAGATTAAGGGCAGGCACCACTGCTATGCCTGGTTTAAATAAGATAATTTTGGACGTCATCCAGGTACTATTCATTGTCTGATTTCATTTCTGACATTTGGATTAGAACAAGTTTAGCTATGTTTTCTTTTTGCTTCTTCAAGATGAAAATTTGTATACCCAGAGCCCTGAGAAAATGAAGCAAATCTGAGCAACTTCTTTCCATAAAAAAATACCATCCGTTAGGCATGTATTAATGATTTCCTACTCCTGCACAAATCCTGAAAACCAAAGGTAAAATCACACAAACAAACATTAATAAATGCTACTTGCATTGAGTTTATGGTATATTAAGAATAATAGGCATTAATCAAACAATGTGGTGCTTCAAATAACTTAAGTGATCTGAAAAAGATGAATGCTTTAAAAACCATTGCTGCAATTGAAAATGGCCTTAACCCATTAGAAAAGGCTATTTATGATTAAATAATTAAAAAAATAGTTCATGCTTATATATGATAATATAACCATAATATACTGGTCTCAAAGCAGTGAATCTGTTATTTTAAGCTCAGAATTTCTTCAGGAATTAATCTGTGTAGTGCATAACAAATATTTTCTCAAATGAAATCCCATCAGTTTGTTTTGCAAGCCCTCTCATATGACCACTTTATGCAATTTTGTTTTAGAACTCTTTCATTATTGTTATTTGTTGTTTTATATCTT